CCAGGAAGCCAGGTGCTGGTGGCTCACACCTGGAATCCTAGCTACTCAGGAGGTTGAGTTCTGAGGAGCAAGGCTCAAGAAAGTTCAAGGAGCAAGAAAGTCTATGAGACTCTTATCTCCAATTAACAACCAAAAAGTCAGAAGCAGAGCTGTGGCTTAAGTGGTAGAGTGTAGCCTTGAAAAACAAGCACCCAGGCAGGCCCTGAGTTCAAACCTCAGGACAAAATTTACACTAAACTAATAACGGCATGGTGGCTTACACTGGTAAATCCCAGCTACACAGGAGGATTCAGGTTTAAGGCTGGCATGGGGCAAAACATGAATGAGGTGCTATCTGAAGAACAACAAAGCAAAAATCAGCTAGAGTACGGCTCAGAAGCAGCATGCTTGCAGCATCAGGCTCTGAGCTCAAACCCCAGTGTTGCTAGAAGAATAAAAATAAAAATAATGAAAACACTTGCATAGCATGGAATGTGGAAAATAAACATCTTCATCTTTTCTTTTCTTTTTTTTTTTTTTAGTCGGTCGTGGGGCTTGAACTCTGGGCCTGGGCGCTGTCCCTCAGCTCTTCAGCTCAAGGCAAGCGCTCTACTGCTTGAGCCACAGCGCCACTTCCGGTTTTGTAGTGGTTTATTGGAGATAAGAGTTCCACAGATTTTCCTGCCTGGGCTGGCTTTGAACCTCGATCCTCAGATCTCAGCCTCCTGAGTAGCGAGGATAACAGGCGTGAGCCACCAGTGCCCGGCTTACATCTTCACCTTCATAGTGTTTAGCTCTGGGTGCTGTTACTTGTTTATCAGAAGTTTCTAATCTTTCAACCTAACACGTTATTTCCTACATGACAATCAAAAAATATATAAGGAGAGAAATCTCATTTCCTGCATCTACCCAGGGGAGGGGACAACAGAAAAGAGCTCATGGCTGGAGTTCGGGCCTGGAGGCCCTGGGCCCCGGCAGGGAAGGGGGACCGGGAGACAGCGTTGGCCTAGGACTCACACGCTTTGTCTGGTGCGGTCCTTTCATTGCTAATGAAGCCAGCTATGGTCAGGGTTGAGGGAGGGAGGTGTCTCCTGGGATGGGAGATTCACACCCACACCTCCTACCTGCTCCTTTTCCTCTCCTCCCCGGGGGAGGCTCGGTCCTCGCCAGGGGCAGAGACAGGTGGAGCCTCTCAGATGAACTGCATGACTGCAAGCCAGCGGCCTGAAGAATGGGCCTGCCGTGTGGCTCAGCCCCTTAGCCCTGCCCAGCAACGCGTCCGCGGCCCAGCAGTACGTCCGCGGCCCAGCGATGGGTCTGCGGCCCAGCAACGCGTCCCCGGCCCAGCAACGCGTCCGCGGCCCAGCAGTACGTCCGCGGCCCAGCGATGGGTCTGCGGCCCAGCGACGCGTCCCCGGCCCAGCAACGCGTCCGCGGCCGAGCGACGCGTCCGCGGCCCAGCGACGGGTCCGCGGCCCAGCAACGCGTCCCCGGCCCAGCGACGCGTCCGCGGCCCAGCGACGCGTCCCCGGCCCAGCGACGCGTCCGCGGCCCAGCGACGGGTCCGCGGCCCAGCGACGCGTCCCCGGCCCAGCGACGCGTCCGCGGCCCAGCGACGCGTCCGCGGCCCAGCGACGCGTCCGCGGCCCAGCAGTGGGCTCAGACCGGCCGGGGCAGAGCTGCGCCAGCCCCGCAGGGAGCCAGGCGACCTCAGGCAGTCTGGCTGGCCGAGGCCGGGCCCAGGGACAGCTGTCTAAGCCCTGCGGAGCCCTGCGCGGGAGGCCCAGCGCTCGGGGCTGCCCGCGCACCGGGAGGGGCCGGGCCCGGCCGCGTCCAGGGGACACCGGGCGTCCGCCGCCCCAAGGCTCCCTGCGGCCCGAGCCCCCGGCCCAGGGTGGGGTCAGGACCCCAGGGTCTTCGAAGTGGGGGCCGGAAGCTGAGCCCGGCTCCCCCATCCGCCCCAGGTCCCCTCAGAGCCGCGGCCCGCGCGGGCGGCACAGGCGGGCCCAGAGCCCGGCCGGGGCGGCGCCTCCGCCCTCCCCGCCGGGCCGCGCCCCGGCCGCGGGCGTCCGGCACACGCGGGCGCGCACAAGCGCTCGGAGCTCTCGGAGGGCGCGGGGATGGGGCCCCGGTGCCCGGGCGAGAACCGGGGTCGGGGGACGCCGTCCGGGCGCGTCCGAGCCCCGGCCGCGGGAGCGCGGAGCCGCCCCTCGCGCCCAGTCCCCCCCGCCGCCCCCCCCCGCGCCCCGCCGCCCCCCTCCCGCGTCCCGCCCTCCCCGCGCCCCGCCGTCCCCGCGGTGGCCGTCCCCCCCCCCGCGCCCCGCCGCCCTCCTCCCGCGTCCCGCCCTCCCCGCCCCCCCCCCGCGCCCCGCCGCCCCCCCCGCGCCCCGCCGCCCCCCCCGCGCCCCGCCGTCCCCGCGGTGGCCGTCCCCCCCCCCGCGCCCCGCCGCCCCCACGGTGGCCGTCACCCCCCCCCCGCGCCCCGCCGTCCCCGCCCCCCCCGCGCCCCGCCGTCCCCCCCCCCCGCGCCCCGCCGTCCCCGCCCCCCCCCGCGCCCCGCCGCCCCCCCCCGCCCCCCGCCGTCCCCGCCCCCCCCGCGCCCCGCCGTCCCCCTCCCGCGCCCCGCCGCCCCCCCCCCGCGCCCCGCCGTCCCCCTCCCGCGCCCCGCCGCCCCCCCCCCGCGCCCCGCCGTCCCCGCCGTCCCCGCCCCCCCCCGCGCCCCGCCGTCCCCGCCGTCCCCGCCCCCCCCGCGCCCCGCCGTCCCCGCCCCCCCCGCGCCCCGCCGTCCCCGCGGTGGCCGCCTCCCGCCCCACCCACGTGCGCCCGCGCGGCCGGCGTGCGGGGAGCGGCCACGCCCGGCCCGTCCACCATTTCCCGGCCGTCCACCATTCCCGCGGGGCCGGCACGGGCGGCATGAGCGCGGGCTGCGAGCGCCCGGCGGGCCCGGGGGCGGTGCCCGCGCCCCGCGCCGCGAAGGTGGAGCTGCGGCTCAGCTGCCGGCACCTGCTGGACCGCGACCCGCTGACCAAGTCCGACCCCAGCGTGCGGCTGCTGCAGCAGGCGCGCGGCGCGTGGGTGCAGGTGGGCGCGGCGGGCCGGGCCGGGGAGGTGCGGGGGGCCGGGCCGGGGAGGTGCGGGGGGCCGGGCCGGGGAGGTGAGGGGGGCCGGGGGAGGTGCGGGGGGCCGGGGGAGGTGAGGGGGGCCGGGGAGGTGAGGGGGGCCGGGGAGGTGCGGGGGGCCGGGGGAGGTGAGGGGGGCCGGGGAGGTGCGGGGGGCCGGGGGAGGTGAGGGGGGCCGGGGAGGTGCGGGGGGCCGGGGGAGGTGCGGGGGGCCGGGGGAGGTGCGGGGGGCCGGGGGAGGTGAGGGGGGCCGGGGAGGTGCGGGGGGCCGGGGGAGGTGAGGGGGGCCGGGGAGGTGCGGGGGGCCGGGGGAGGTGCGGGGGGCCGGGCCGGGGAGGTGCGGGGGGCCGGGCCGGGGAGGTGCGGGGGGCCGGGCCGGGGAGGTGCGGGGGGCCGGGGGAGGTGCGGGGGGCCGGGGGAGGTGAGGGGGGCCGGGGAGGTGAGGGGGGCCGGGGAGGTGCGGGGGGCCGGGGGAGGTGAGGGGGGCCGGGGAGGTGCGGGGGACCGGGGGAGGTGCGGGGGGGCCGGGGGAGGTGCGGGGGGCCGGGGGAGGTGCGGGGGGCCGGGGGAGGTGCGGGGGGCCGGGGGAGGTGAGGGGGGCCGGGGAGGTGCGGGGGGCCGGGGGAGGTGCGGGGGGCCGGGGGAGGTGCGGGGGGCCGGGGGAGGTGCGGGGGGCCGGGGGAGGTGAGGGGGGCCGGGGAGGTGCGGGGGGCCGGGGGAGGTGCGGGGGGCCGGGGGAGGTGCGGGGGGCCGGGGAGGTGCGGGGGGCCGGGGGAGGTGAGGGGGGACGGGGGAGGTGCGGGGCGCGGACCCGGGCCGGGCGTGCGCCCCGGGCGCAGGGCCCCTGACGGCCCAGGGCGGGGTCTGGGGCGCACTGGCCCCGAGGGGCGAAGGACGGGACGCGGGAGGGGCGCGGGCAGGGACGGGGCCGGGCGCTGAGAAGCGCGGGGACCGCGGGCCGGGGGCTCGGGGCTCGGGGCAGGCCGCGCCGGGCGGCGGCGCCGGCGGGAGGCGAGCGGAGGCGGCCAGGCTCCCCAGCGCCCGCCGCCTGGTGCCGGGGCCACCGCGGTCCCGGAGTTTCCCGCCCGCCGGTGGCCGCCGCCGGGCAGCGGGGACCCGGGCTCGCCGCGGCTCTCCGCGCTGGCCTGAGCCCGGGTCTCGCCGCCTGGGAAAGGCTTCTGCAGGAGCCCGGCTCGTCCGGAGAGCGGGGCGCGCTGGGGCCCCCGGCCGAGACAGCCCACGGCGACCCTGAGGGTCGGGGGTGCTGGAGTTTCAGCCACCGTGGGCTACCCGCACCCCCCCCCCCCCCCCCCCGCAGCTTGAATGTGAGGACTGCAGGCAGACCCTTGGTTTGGGGGCAGAGTCTGAGGGCCCTGCATGCAGCCCGGCTAGGGCATGCCTTTGGAGAAAGGAACTGGTTAGACCAGAGAGGCTGGTGCACCCCTGACCCCTTCCGAGGGGGATCTGTGCCTCCATTTCTTCTGGGAAGAGGCTTCCACCCAGGGGTTGCCTAGCCCAGGGTTAACGTCTGACTCCATCCGGGTATTCCTGGGGAGGATTTGGCCCCTCTCTGAGCCTCAGTTTCCCCATCTGTGATGTGGCCTAGAGCAGATGTGGCATGAGAGTGCATAGCCGTTGTGGTTTGTGGCTGGCCAGCATGTGTGTCCGCGGCAGGGGAGGGCGTGCTGGGAGTCGGGGCAGGGACCCAGCATGGCCCACAGCCCTGCAGTGGCATGTGGGGGTCAGTCCCAGCAGGCGGAGGACAAACCTGGGAAAGGAGAATGGAGGGGAGGCGAGGCGAGCGGGGCTTGGGCCCCACTGGTGGGGAGGGCCTCCCCGGCCCCGGCTCACAGGCTGCGGCTTGCAGGTGGACAGAACCGAAGTGGTGCGGAGCTGCCTGCACCCTGTGTTCTCCAAAGTCTTCACTGTCGACTACTACTTCGAGGAAGTGCAGAAGCTGCGCTTCGAGGTGTATGACACCCACGGGGCCTGTGAGACCAGCTTCCAGGATGACGACTTCCTGGGGGGCATGGAGTGCACCTTGGGGCAGGTGGGTACCCAGCCCCAGGGGCCGGGGGGCCAGGAGGGTGGTGACAGGGCAGATCTGCACCTGAGGGTGCTACAGGGGCGAGCCTCCGAAGTTCTTCCCCTACAAAAGTCCTTCCCAGTTTCCTTGGTTTAAGGCCAGCTTTGAACTGAAGATTTTTTTTTTCAGTTCTTGAGGTCCTTGTATTGGATCACTCGGCACATTCTCGGTGGGTCGGGTTCTTCCTCCACAGCCAGGGCTGTGATTCATCCTTGTTCCCGCCTGGTCGAAGCCGTTTTCCTTAGATCCTCTTCTGTCCGCATTTCACATATAAGGACTGAGATCTAGAGGCACCTGCCACCCATGGGCCCATGAAAACACACGTGGGTGCGTGAGATATGTGCACCATGATCCAGGCAGCCTACGAGTGCATGAACACAGAGACAAGCGTGGTGCACATGGACACAATCACACGGGTTAGTGCACTCACAAGCGCTCTGCTCCGCAGCTGCCCAGCTGACCTGCAGGTGCAGCGGCTGCCAGCCCTGTGCGACAATCCTCACCATGACCCTCCACCCCGCAGCCTTCCACCCACGCCCCTCACCCCTCACCCACGCCCCTCACCCACGCCCCTCACCCACGCCCCTCACCCACGCCCCTCCACCCCACGCCCCTCACCCACACCCTCCACCCCACGCCCCTCCACCCCACAGCCTTCCACCCACGCCCCTCACCCACGCCCCTCACCCACGCCCCTCACCCACGCCCCTCACCCACGCCCCTCCACCCCACGCCCCTCACCCACGCCCCTCACCCACGCCCTCCACCCCACGCCCCTCCACCCCACGCCCCTCACCCACGCCCCTCCGCCCACGCCCTCCACCCCACGCCCCTCACCCACGCCCCTCACCCACGCCCCTCACCCACGCCCCTCACCCACGCCCCTCCACCCACGCCCTCCACCCCACGCCCCTCACCCACGCCCCTCACCCCACAGCCTTCCACCCCACGCCCCTCCACCCACGCCCCTCACCCACGCCCCTCCACCCACGCCCCTCACCCACGCCCCTCACCCACGCCCCTCACCCACGCCCCTCCGCCCCACGCCCCTCCACCCACGCCCCTCCGCCCCACGCCCCTCCGCCCCACGCCCCGCCACCCACGCCCCTCCACCCACGCCTTCCACCCCACGCCCCTCCACCCATGCCCCTCCACCCCACGCCCCTCCACCCACGCCTTCCACCCCACGCCCCTCACCCACGCCCCTCACCCACGCCCCTCACCCACGCCCCTCCGCCCCACGCCCCTCCGCGCCACGCCCCTCCGCCCCACGCCCCTCCGCCCCACGCCCCTCCACCCACGCCTTCCACCCCACGCCCCTCACCCACGCCCCTCCACCCCACGCCCCTCCACCCACGCCCCTCCGCCCCACGCCTTCCACCCACGCCCCTCTGCCCCACGCCCCTCCGCCCCACGCCCCTCCGCCCCACGCCCTTCGACCCCACGACCCTCCGCCCCACGCCCCTCCGCCACACCCCTCCGCCCCACGCCTTCCACCCACGCCCCTCCACCCCACGCCCCTCCACCCACGCCCCTCCACCCACGCCCCTCCACCCCACGCCCCTCACCCACGCCCCTCCACCCACGCCCCTCCACCCACGCCCCTCCACCCCACGCCCCTCCACCCCACGCCTTCCACCCCACGCCCCTCCGCCCCACGCCCCTCCGCCCCACGCCCCTCCGTCCCACGCCCCTCCGCCCCACGCCCCTCCGCCCCACGCCCCTCCACCCACGCCCCTCCGTCCCACGCCCCTCCGTCCCACGCCCCTCCACGCCACGTCCCTCCTCCCACGCCCCTCCACCCCACGCCCCTCCACCCCACGCCCCTCCACCCCACGCCCTTTGACCCCACGACCCTCCGCCCCCCGCCCCTCCGCCCCACGCCCCTCCGCCCCACGCCCCTCCGCCCCACGCCCCTCCGCGCCACGCCCCTCCGCGCCACGTCCCTCTGGCATCCGTGGGCACAGCCCACAGATGGCTCATGGCCCATGGGTCTGAAGAGATGGTGCCCAGGGGTGTGAGCCTTTGTCCCCACAAAGCCATGGGCTCCTGGGAGACAAGATGGCAGCTCTTCCGGGAGCGCACAGACCCAGAGGGGCTGGAGCAGCTCCATCGGGCACTGCCCTGTACTGGCTGTGTGCTGACCCTGCTTGTGTCTACGTCCACACCCGTTAGAGTGCGCAGCCTGCTAGGATGGCGGCCCGCAGAGGAGAGGCCAGGGCTCAGCAGTGGGATTAGAACCATTTGCTGACTCAGGACAGGCACCTGTGCCCGAAGGCCAGGGCGGTGCCCCCACTACCCTAAAGCAGCCTGGGCTGGGTCGGGGTTGCAGGAGCTCAGAGCATGCACCCCTCACACCCGCACCCTTGCTGTGTTCTCTGTGGGGCCATGTGTGAGGGCAGGCCCCGGCTGAGGTGAGGACTGGTCTGCTGCCCTTCACGTGGGCGCCACGTCTGCTAGCTGGGGGAGGGGGAGAAAGCCCCCACAAGCGTCAGACACGGTGGGGAGCAGGGGCTGGTGAGGCCCTGGGACAGGGGTCGGAGCCCCTGCCTCCAGAGTCCCTGCTTGACTGTCTTGGCTTACAGATTGTGGCTCAGAAGAAAATGACACGGGCATTGCTGCTGAAGTTCGGCAGAAACGCTGGCAAGTCCACCATCACGGTGCGGCCTTCCTCCCCTTCCCCACTGTGGCTCGGAGGGGTGGGGCGCTGGTGGCCCGTACAGCTCAGGGTCCAGGGCCACCTGGAGGGCAGCCGCAGCCGGGGAGGAGGCTCTGCCGTGGAGCCCACGGGCCCCCCTGTGACCCCTCCCCACCCAGGTGATCGCTGAGGACATCTCTGGGAACCATGGCTACGTGGAGCTCTCCTTCCAGGCCAAGAAGCTGGACGATAAGGTGAGGGCTGCGTGCTCAGTGCATCCGTCTGTGGCCACTGCTGGTCAGGCCGGGTGTGGCCCTGGCGTGGGCTCGGAGGAAGGCTGTGCTGCGCACCCGTGGCCCGGGCTTGCCGCCGTCAGCCTTTGCGGTCGTCTTGCCATCATTGTCACAGACCATCCCCACTTCCCACCCGTGTCCCCTCCACCACCATCATCCCCCGCACCTCAGCCTTGGGGGCGTGGCTCGCAGCTCTGCCTTCCTCATGGTGTGGCCCAGGGAAGCTGTCCACATCTGTGTCTACAAGGGAGGAACTGGGTCTGCACCCGGCTCCCTGGCGTGGTGCACCTGCGTAACATCCCTGATGACCTCCTTGGGAGGCCTCAGGCAAAGCGGTGGAGGGTGAGTGGAGACACCAGTCAGCACAGGCAGCAGGAGAGAGGGGCAGTGGGACCAGAGAGGAGGGGAGGCGGGGGGTCACCACGACTGCCCAGGACCTGTGCCAGGCCAGAGCCAGAGGACTGAGGCACCTGGAAGATGATGGGCCTCTCACGCCCCGTTTTGTGCCTGAGGAAGTGGAGGTTGTAAGCTGAAGGGACCTGACTAGAAGTGACTGTGCTCCCAGCCAAAGCTGGCCACGAGCCCTGACCAGAGCACGCCCGCCACCCTAGGACCTCTTCAGCAAGTCGGACCCCTTTCTGGAGCTGTATCGGGTCAACGATGATGGAAGTGAGCAGCTGGTGTACAGGACGGAGGTGAGCGGAGGCCAGCACCGCGGGTCCCGGGTGCCGTGGGGGTGGGCCGGCAGGTGCAGCCCTCACGTCTGGGGCCCGGGCTGGCTGTGGGCTTTCTCCGGCCAGCCAGGCAGTGGGGTGGACCTGGCTGGCTGCAGCTGGACTCCACGGGGTGGCTGGGTGGTCGCCATAATTATTTTAGGAGTATTTCCTACTTGCTGAGGGGAAAGTGGGGAGAGCATGTGGCTTTGAGGCACATTAATTTGAGTAAAAAGAGTCTAGTTAAGGAGTCCGAGCTCAGGGACCAGGAGGGCCGCGCACTGGCAGGAGAGTTGGAGGTGCTCTGGGTCCCTCCTGCTCCTGCCTGATGCTGCTCTACCCCAGGCCCACCCCAGGCACTGTCTGGGTGGGGCTGAGGGATGGGCTCACCTTGCTTGTCTCAGCACTGCCAAAGGGCCTGTGGTTGCGGACTCAAGGCCGCCTTGGCTCTGGCCCCGAGTTTCCTGCCGGAACCAGCCCCCCCTTGGCCCACAGGTGGTGAAGAACAACCTCAGCCCCGTGTGGGAGCCCTTCAGAGTGTCCCTCAATTCCCTGTGCAGCTCCAAGGAGACCCGCTCGCTGAAGGTGGGGGCTGGGCAGGGGTCGGCGGGGCAGGGGTCAGGCGGGGCAGCCAGTCCTCCCGGCCACCCTCGGGCCCCTTGGGGTCAGGGTTTGTGGGCCAAGGAGGGATTGAGGAGGGCGGTGGCCGAGCTGGTAACCCAGGGCCACAGGGCTCTGTGGCCAGAGGTGGCCACTGAAGGCCCTGGTCTCCCAGTGCCTGGTGTGGGATTATGACTCCCGAGGGAAGCATGACTTCATCGGGGACTTCACCACCACCTTCGCGGAGATGCAGAAGGCCTTCCAGGAGAACCAGGTGAGATGAGGCCTGACCCGTCCTGACCGCAGGCCATGGCGGCCTGTCCTATGTCCCAGGATGGTCAGCAGCCAGCAGTGTGGGTGGGGCCCTCCCAGCGTGGGGTCGGAAGCCAGCAGAGGTTTAAGACTCCATCTCAAGCAGGGCACACGCGTGTGCAAGCCAGTGATCACCCCCGTGGTCTGGTGGCTTCTGAAGGGCACATCTGCACCTGCAAAGTGGGGAGCTTCTTTCCTGAGCCCTGGAGTCTCCCGGGGGGGTCTGGAGGCTCCGGAGGAGTTTTGGGGTGACACACCGTGTGCAGAGTCTAGCCCCTGTTCTGACCACTGGGCTTCCGCCGGTGTGCTGCACCCCAGCAGTGCCCCTGAGGGATGGCCAGGCCCCATGCTCCCACAGACAGCCTGGGCCCTGCATCGCTGTTGGGGGCTTTCTGGGGCCGGCAGCCCAGGCGAGGTGACACGCAGGCCCGACACCGCCCGGTACCTCCTCGGCCCTTGGGGAGACCCTTGGCTGGCACTTCAGGGGTCTGTGTCCATCCCCAGGCCCAGTGGGAGTGTGTGAACGCCAAGTACAGGCAAAAGAAGCGCAATTACAAGAACTCCGGCGTGGTGATCCTGGCAGACCTGAAGGTGAGTGTGCCCTGCCCCCAGTCCCCAGGGGAGGGCACCTGAGCAGCCCCTCCTGTGGCTCTGGATGGATCCTTGAGGTCCCTATCCAAGAGGTCAGGAAAGCCTTGTTTGGGGGGACAGGGGGAGGAGGGAGGAGGGGGGAGCCGGTGGGGAGAGCAGGTGGAAGGAGGGAAGGAAGGCCTCTGGGGAGACCTCTAGAAAGGGGCAGGGCTGCGGCCAGGCCTGGTTCCCCGTGGGTGGGGTCCCCGGGCTCTGCCGACGCTACTGCCTGGAAGCTCCACAGGGTCCACTCCTTCCTGGACTACATCATGGGCGGCTGTCAGATCCACTGCACCGTGAGTCAGCCACCGCCCTGTGCCGTCTGCCTCGCGTACGCGGTCCCCACGCGGTCCCCAGTGCTCCCCACACGGTCCCCGCTCCGTCCCACGCGGTCCCCACGCGGTCCCCACACCTTTCCCGCTCCGTCCCACGCGGTCCCCACGCTGTCCCCAGTGATCCCCACACGGTCCCCGCTCTGTCCCACGCCGTCCCCACACCTTCCCCGCTCCGTCCCACGCGGTCCCCACACCTTCCCCGCTCCGTCCCACGCCGTCCCCACACCTTCCCCGCTCCGTCCCACGCCGTCCCCACACCTTCCCCGCTCCGTCCCACGCCGTCCCCACACCTTCCCCGCTCCGTCCCACGCCGTCCCCACACCTTCCCCGCTCCGTCCCACGCCGTCCCCACACCTTCCCCGCTCTGTCCCACGCGGTCCCCACACCTTCCCCGCTCTGTCCCACGCGGTCCCCAAGCCGTCCCCACGCTGTCCCTGTGCTGTCCCATGAGGCCACCAGCCTGGCCATGCCCCAGGGACCCTGGCCATCCTCTGAGGTGCAGCAGCGGGCACAGCAGCAGGCACAGCAGGCACAGCAGCAGGCACAGCAGCAGGCACAGCAGCAGGCACAGCAGCAGGCACAGCAGGCACAGCAGCAGGCACAGCAGGCACAGCAGCGGGCACAGCAGCGGGCACAGCAGCAGGCACAGCAGCAGGCACAGCAGCAGGCACAGCAGCAGGCACAGCAGCGGGCACAGCAGCGGGCACAGCAGCAGGCACAGCAGGCACAGCAGGCACAGCAGCAGGCACAGCAGCAGGCACAGCAGCGGGCACAGCAGCAGGCACAGCAGCAGGCACAGCAGCGGGCACAGCAGCGGGCACAGCAGCAGGCACAGCAGGCACAGCAGCAGGCACAGCAGCGGGCACAGCAGCAGGCACAGCAGCAGGCACAGCAGGCACAGCAGGCACAGCAGCAGGCACAGCAGCAGGCACAGCAGGCACAGCAGCGGGCACAGCAGCAGGCACAGCAGGCACAGCAGCGGGCACAGCAGCAGGCACAGCAGCAGGCACAGCAGCAGGCACAGCAGGCACAGCAGCAGGCACAGCAGCGGGCACAGCAGCGGGCACAGCAGCAGGCACAGCAGCGGGCACAGCAGCGGGCACAGCAGCAGGCACAGCAGCGGGCACAGCAGCGGGCACAGCAGCAGGCACAGCAGCAGGCACAGCAGCAGGCACAGCAGCAGGCACAGCAGCAGGCACAGCAGCAGGCACAGCAGGCACAGCAGCAGGCACAGCAGCAGGCACAGCAGCGGGCACAGCAGCGGGCACAGCAGCAGGCACAGCAGCAGGCACAGCAGCAGGCACAGCAGGCACAGCAGGCACAGCAGCAGGCACAGCAGGCACAGCAGCAGGCACAGCAGCAGGCACAGCAGCAGGCACAGCAGCGGGCACAGCAGCGGGCACAGCAGCAGGCACAGCAGGCACAGCAGCAGGCACAGCAGCAGGCACAGCAGCGGGCACAGCAGGCACAGCAGCAGGCACAGCAGCAGGCACAGCAGCAGGCACAGCAGGCACAGCAGCGGGCACAGCAGCAGGCACAGCAGCAGGCACAGCAGGCACAGCAGCAGGCACAGCAGCAGGCACAGCAGCGGGCACAGCAGCAGGCACAGCAGCAGGCACAGCAGCAGGCACAGCAGCAGGCACAGCAGCAGGCACAGCAGGCACAGCAGCAGGCACAGCAGCAGGCACAGCAGCGGGCACAGCAGGCACAGCAGCAGGCACAGCAGCAGGCACAGCAGCGGGCACAGCAGCAGGCACAGCAGCAGGCACAGCAGGCACAGCAGGCACAGCAGCAGGCACAGCAGCAGGCACAGCAGGCACAGCAGCAGGCACAGCAGCAGGCACAGCAGCAGGCACAGCAGCAGGCACAGCAGGCACAGCAGCAGGCACAGCAGGCACAGCAGCAGGCACAGCAGCAGGCACAGCAGCAGGCACAGCAGCGGGCACAGCAGGCACAGCAGGCACAGCAGCAGGCACAGCAGCAGGCACAGCAGCAGGCACAGCAGCAGGCACAGCAGCGGGCACAGCAGCAGGCACAGCAGCAGGCACAGCAGCAGGCACAGCAGCAGGCACAGCAGCAGGCACAGCAGGCACAGCAGCAGGCACAGCAGCAGGCACAGCAGCGGGCACAGCAGGCACAGCAGCAGGCACAGCAGCAGGCACAGCAGCAGGCACAGCAGGCACAGCAGCAGGCACAGCAGCAGGCACAGCAGCAGGCACAGCAGGCACAGCAGCGAGCACAGCAGCGGGCACAGCAGGCACAGCAGGCACAGCAGCAGGCACAGCAGGCACAGCAGCAGGCACAGCAGCAGGCACAGCAGCAGGCACAGCAGCAGGCACAGCAGGCACAGCAGCGAGCACAGCAGCGGGCACAGCAGGCACAGCAGGCACAGCAGCAGGCACAGCAGCGGGCACAGCAGCAGGCACAGCAGCAGGCACAGCAGGCACAGCAGCGGGCACAGCAGCGGGCACAGCAGGCACAGCAGGCACAGCAGCAGGCACAGCAGCGGGCACAGCAGCGGGCACAGCAGCAGGCACAGCAGCAGGCACAGCAGCAGGCACAGCAGGCACAGCAGCAGGCACAGCAGCAGGCACAGCAGCAGGCACAGCAGCAGGCACAGCAGCAGGCACAGCAGCAGGCACAGCAGCGGGCACAGCAGGCACAGCAGCAGGCACAGCAGCAGGCACAGCAGCAGGCACAGCAGGCACAGCAGGCACAGCAGGCACAGCAGCAGGCACAGCAGCAGGCACAGCAGCAGGCACAGCAGCAGGCACAGCAGCAGGCACAGCAGCAGGCACAGCAGGCACAGCAGGCACAGCAGCAGGCACAGCAGCAGGCACAGCAGCAGGCACAGCAGGCACAGCAGCAGGCACAGCAGCAGGCACAGCAGGCACAGCAGCAGGCACAGCAGCAGGCACAGCAGCAGGCACAGCAGGCACAGCAGGCACAGCAGGCACAGCAGCAGGCACAGCAGCAGGCACAGCAGCAGGCACAGCAGCAGGCACAGCAGCAGGCACAGCAGCAGGCACAGCAGCGGGCACAGCAGGCACAGCAGCAGGCACAGCAGCAGGCACAGCAGCAGGCACAGCAGGCACAGCAGGCACAGCAGGCACAGCAGCAGGCACAGCAGCAGGCACAGCAGCAGGCACAGCAGCAGGCACAGCAGCAGGCACAGCAGCAGGCACAGCAGCGGGCACAGCAGGCACAGCAGCAGGCACAGCAGCAGGCACAGCAGCAGGCACAGCAGGCACAGCAGGCACAGCAGGCACAGCAGGCACAGCAGCAGGCACAGCAGGCACAGCAGCAGGCACAGCAGCAGGCACAGCAGGCACAGCAGGCACAGCAGCAGGCACAGCAGGCACAGCAGGCACAGCAGCAGGCACAGCAGCAGGCACAGCAGCAGGCACAGCAGGCACAGCAGCGGGCACAGCAGCAGGCACAGCAGCAGGCACAGCAGGCACAGCAGCAGGCACAGCAGCAGGCACAGCAGGCACAGCAGGCACAGCAGCAGGCACAGCAGGCACAGCAGGCACAGCAGCAGGCACAGCAGCAGGCACAGCAGCAGGCACAGCAGGCACAGCAGCAGGCACAGCAGCAGGCACAGCAGCGGGCACAGCAGGCACAGCAGCAGGCACAGCAGCAGGCACAGCAGGCACAGCAGCAGGCACAGCAGGCACAGCAGCAGGCACAGCAGCGGGCACAGCAGCAGGCACAGCAGCAGGCACAGCAGGCACAGCAGCGGGCACAGCAGCAGGCACAGCAGCGGGCACAGCAGCAGGCACAGCAGCGGGCACAGCAGGCACAGCAGGCACAGCAGCGGGCACAGCAGCAGGCACAGCAGGCACAGCAGGCACAGCAGCAGGCACAGCAGGCACAGCAGCAGGCACAGCAGCAGGCACAGCAGCGGGCACAGCAGCAGGCACAGCAGCAGGCACAGCAGGCACAGCAGCGGGCACAGCAGCGGGCACAGCAGGCACAGCAGGCACAGCAGCAGGCACAGCAGCGGGCACAGCAGCGGGCACAGCAGCAGGCACAGCAGCAGGCACAGCAGCAGGCACAGCAGGCACAGCAGCAGGCACAGCAGCAGGCACAGCAGCAGGCACAGCAGCAGGCACAGCAGCAGGCACAGCAGCAGGCACAGCAGCAGGCACAGCAGGCACAGCAGCAGGCACAGCAGCAGGCACAGCAGCAGGCACAGCAGGCACAGCAGCAGGCACAGCAGCAGGCACAGCAGGCACAGCAGCAGGCACAGCAGCAGGCACAGCAGCAGGCACAGCAGGCACAGCAGGCACAGCAGGCACAGCAGCAGGCACAGCAGCAGGCACAGCAGCAGGCACAGCAGGCACAGCAGCAGGCACAGCAGCAGGCACAGCAGCAGGCACAGCAGGCACAGCAGCAGGCACAGCAGCAGGCACAGCAGCAGGCACAGCAGGCACAGCAGCAGGCACAGCAGCAGGCACAGCAGGCACAGCAGCAGGCACAGCAGCAGGCACAGCAGCAGGCACAGCAGGCACAGCAGGCACAGCAGGCACAGCAGCAGGCACAGCAGCAGGCACAGCAGCAGGCACAGCAGGCACAGCAGCAGGCACAGCAGCGGGCACAGCAGCAGGCACAGCAGCAGGCACAGCAGCGGGCACAGCAGCAGGCACAGCAGCAGGCACAGCAGCAGGCACAGCAGCAGGCACAGCAGCAGGCACAGCAGGCACAGCAGCAGGCACAGCAGCAGGCACAGCAGCAGGCACAGCAGGCACAGCAGCAGGCACAGCAGCAGGCACAGCAGGCACAGCAGCAGGCACAGCAGCAGGCACAGCAGCAGGCACAGCAGGCACAGCAGGCACAGCAGGCACAGCAGCAGGCACAGCAGCAGGCACAGCAGCAGGCACAGCAGCAGGCACAGCAGCAGGCACAGCAGCGGGCACAGCAGGCACAGCAGCAGGCACAGCAGCAGGCACAGCAGCAGG